GATCTTTTTCTAAACCCCTACATACTTATTAACTCTTAATAGTGAACACATGGGGTGGGCGGCAGCACTGTAACATGGATGTAGAATGCAAAAGTAGATACAAAAATACACAATTAAGCCCTGTGCGTAAACACCCACTACTGCTAGTACACATCAGCCAGAATACATGCAATTAAAAAAAGTTACCTGCACACTATCCCACATTTCTAAGCACATTTAAATACACTTTAGTAGCCATTGTAGTGATACTAAAAAAATCCTCCAGTTTTTTTCAATTTGCATAGGGATGTAGTAAGAGTTTGAGCACAGGACTTAATTTTGTGTATTTAAATTAGAAAATGTGTCTTATATCTGTAACATACTGTAGAGCAAGCAGATACATTATCTGGTGATATTAAAAAGATGTTGAATGGTGCAATGCCCTTGATTGAATTTTATACTTCTACTAAGATTTAATTTAGAGCCTAGTTTTTATATATATTTTTTTATATTAGAGGGTCATTAGCTTTACATATTAGCATCTGCTTCAGCATCTTCTTTCTCCTTTGCATCTTACTTCTAATTTAATAATGTAATGTAAAGGGGGGGCTCAGAAATGATCATTTGTAAAAAACAAACAAACATTATTGGAAGCTTTTTAGGCAGTGATGTATTAATCAGTGGCGGCTCTAGACTTGGCGAGGCCTTAGGCGAAACTCATACATGAGGCCCCCACTAACACCATTATTGGAAAAAAACAGCAGTTGACGTGTGTGTGTATAAGAAGCTGTAGATTTATTGAAGGGCAGGCTTGCAGTACTGGATATAGAGAACTAGTCTTTGTATACTTCGTTGCATTGTCTACCTGTGTGTGCCTGAGAGTGTGTGTCTGGCAGTGAGTATCTTTGTATATGTATGCATGTTTCTCTGAGCATGTGTATATTTGTGTTACTGCCTGTGGCCTTTGGCATTAAGTTCATGGCGAAGCTATGTTTTATGACAGTGTGTAGAATGATTGCCTTCAGGGGGTGACAGGGTGAGTAAAGGAGTAACTGTGGCAGGGTGATTGTAAAAAGAGCAGGAGGGTGCCAGAGTGCGGAGAGTGGTGCCCGTGTGTTTAGAGGGAGAGATAGTGTTTATGGAGGGGGGTGACAGTGTGTATGG